ATAAGCTTGTTGTTAAAATCTGACTAATTTCTCTCACAATGTTAAGTGCCTGAACCTGCCTGAGCCGCTCATTACAGCTCCCACACAATCCTGAACAGCGAGGGCTATTTTCCAGTCTGTGTCCGGTGGTGACTTCCTGTTACCAGAACCACATTGTCTGGAGGCCCTTAAAGATGGAGATGTGAACTACAACAATCTTTGGACTCAAGCTACTCAAGTGGAAAGCTCTCAACAGGTGCCAGGAGTGGGGGACGTGGACAATTAAAAGCACTGCTCCAGCTCTTGTATTGTTCTGGGACAGTGACTCCTTTGCTTCGACTCAAATAGAGGATGGTATTGAGGATTAAACACACAAAGAAACACAAAGAGGTTTAGGGCGAGCTTTGTGCGCCCAGAATTTAAGTTGGTGGTGGTTGCTGTGAGGGGGCGGAAGTCCAGTGAAGAAGAACTCAATTTTGTTTCTTAAGTAAAAGTACAGATACCAGAGGAAATTAAACCTTTTTATCACCAAACCAGACCAAGTTACAGGTCAGATCTGTGGAGAGGCAACCCTGCTCACAGTAAGAACGCCTGTTTTGAGTATTTTTGAGCTATAAAACCACCTGTTATTGAATAAATGTAAGGTAGAACTGTTTTAATGTGATACTGTGGAACATTCTTATCCATAAAAAGACTCAAGTGAAGGACCCACCCCAACCAAAAAGTTACACAATGCACCTCTAATTAAAGTTTAAAAATGTAAAAAGTTAAAGTAATTTGTGCAGAATTTGGAGGTCTTACAAGGCTTTGAATGCAGTGGTTTTGAGAAAGATTGTGCTGATTATTTTGTTCAGTAGAAGCATTTTTTGTTTCCTCAAATTACGAATATGCTAAAATTAAACCCTCAGCCCTTTCAGCAGGTCTCAGACAACAATAAAAATACTTTTACTTTTCAATCCTGTACAAAAATGTAGTGAAGTAGAAAGTGCAGATACCTGCTCTCAAATGTAGTGAAGTAAAAGTTAAAATTATCTGCTTTCAAATCTACTTAAAGGTGCACTGTGTAACTTTTCTAGTTGAGGGTCTGTTTCCTCCTCGTCTCCGTGGAGATGTTATGTATTCATTTCTATGGAGACAAAAAAGTGACACCACCAAGCCAAGTTATATGTCAGATCTTTGAAGAACCAACTCTGCTTGTGTTTTTTAAGCCTCAATAAAAATGTGTAATTGAATAAACGCTTGATAGATACGTTTAATGCCACTGTGGAATATTTCAGGTAAAGCAATAACGTCTCCATGGAATAAAATCAGATGACAGACTCTTCACCAGAAAAAGTGGGAGTAAAGTAAGTAATAAAGTAAGTAGTAAAGTAAGTAAAGTATTATAATTAAGTTGTTTTTTTTTTTTTTTGTATCTGTACTTTACTTAAAGGTGTTTCGTCCTGTGTTCCCTCAGCTTTATGTTCCATCATTTCTATGGGTTCTTTTTGTTGTTGTAGTTGTTTTTTTCTTTCCTATGTTCTCACATTTCCTTCAGTCATCAATTTGCATCAGATTTTATCCTCATTTCTCCCAATTTTTGGCCAATTACACCCAATCCAGCAGCAGTTGACTACAGATAGAGGTCATGGTGCAAAAGAGTCTAGGTTGAAATGACTCTGAATCGTCCCTTTAAATGCGGTATAAAAATAAAAATGACTTGACTTAGTTTCATTTTGAGAAAAGTCTTCAACCTTCAAAGAAAAATCTTAGAAATGAGGGAACATAGAGCTGTGGAGAAATAGGGCCGATTCCCTTTAAGTAAGGTACAGATACTATTTTTTTTTTTAACTTAATTATAATACTTTACTACTTTTACTTTTTTACATTCCACCACTGAAGAAGACCCACCGTGCTTGTGGTGTGGTCAGACGAGCTCGGACATCTGAGGGCCGAAAGGTCACCGAACAAAGAAGAAAAAGGAGCTAACTCGAAGCTAGCAGCTGCTAACAGGAAATCGGCACAGAGAGACATTTGTGCAAACTAAGCAAAGGACCGCAGACAGATAAAACCCATGAGGAGTTTAAAGGCTAAAGACGCAGCCAGGGGATCGGGTCAGAAGCAGAGGTTTACTGTGGGGTCATCAGGGGTCAGAGGTCAGCGGGCAAGTCACAGGAGTAGCGAGCAGGGAGAGCGAGCTTTGACCAGCACAAAAGAATGAAAGAGCCAGCTGAGATGAAGGGGGACTTAGCCTTCAAAGTGATCAATGGTTTGTGTTAGTGGAACAGGTGGGGGCCCATACACACATACTGTCCTGAAAGAATACAGGCGGCGGGGAGCAGACTGGACATGGAGAGCTCTGTAAATTACTAGACTGTCTCCTCATTACTGTCAGTGTGGAGAGAGGGATACTTAAAGGTGCTTTGTGTAACTTTTCTGGTGGAGGGTCCATCAAATGCTTTTATTCAAGGAGATGTTATAGCTTTGTCTGAACGCTATAAACTTCTTATCTTCATGGAGACAAAACCAGACCAAGTTACAGGTAAGATCTACAGAGGCAACAGTCAGATTGCTCATTTTTCTAGGTATTTTTGAGCTATAAAGCCAACTGAAATTCAATAAATGTGAGGTAGAGCTGTTTATTGTCAATGACATATCCATAGAAACAAGCAGGTGCCGGCCCCTAACCAAAAAGTTACCGTATTTTTCGGACTATAAGATGCACCGGATTATAAGGCAGACTATCAATAATATTGAATTCTCTTGTCTATTTTCAATTCATAAGCAGTTTAAATGCTAGACGTGTAATTTGTGAACATCTGTAGCATTCAAATTGCACAAATCTCTCTGTCTTTGCTCATATCTACATCATGAAATTGATTTTTAATTTTAATTTTAGAATCAGTGTGAGTTAGCAAGTTACTTATTAATGAATTACTTATTACTTATGTTTTATTCATGACCATAGAGTTAGTTTTTGCTCAGGAGTGGTTCACTAATGCTAGTCGTTGTTTGCCTTTACATTTTCATCTTTCTTACCTTGATAGTTGTAAATAAATTCTTTGTCGACCTTGTTGGATGAAGATTTGGTGATGAGGCAGACTTGTGAAGCTGGTGGAAAACATGTGAGACATTTCCACAGATATTTTGCCATAGAAAAGCATTAACCAGGAGTTACGTTTACCCTACATCGTGGCATTTCCAGCCGTTGTGAAAAAGGTCAGTGCTGACGCAAAACTATACTTCGCCCTTTAATCCTTGAGACTCCTAACTACGGTAGTCGTAATGCTCCGACAATCCATCAGGCGGTGCAGCTTCGTAGCTTATCAAAGTCTTACTAAAACATTTTGACAGATTTTTGAATGCAGTGTACCACATAAAATCGGTTAGAGGTCAGTAAGCACAACCAGAATTAATACATAAGGCGCACTGTTGATTTTTGAGAAGATTAAAGGATTTTAATTGCGCCTTATAGTCTGAAAAACACAGTACATAGTGCACCTTTAAAACCTGCCATCCTATTTTGTCCGCGTGACTAAAAGGGTAATTTGAATCAATCATCGTATAGAGATTAAAAAAGCTATTTAAAAAGCTATCGTATTGTTATTAATAATAGCAATGCACATTAGGTGCGGTTTTATGACGTGTGGTCTCAAACACCATCTGTTTCTCCAAAGACTCGCTGGTGTGGACCCGGTGAGGACTTACAAGCCCCCAGAGATGTGGTAGTGCCAGTTATGAGCATGTCTGGGGAATGACAACATCCCTGTGATTTAGAGGAGCAGACCATCTGGCAAGTCATGTATAGCTCTAGTTTGGTTGAAAGGTTTAAACGAAAAAAATCATGTTTATGTATCTACTCTGGGACTAATTTGCGTAATTAGCCTGTTTTTTTTTTTATTCTGTGATTTATGTTTTACAAGCAATCAATTACCATCAATCATGTTTTTTAATTGCCAGTGCTGATAACAATTACTTCGAAATCAGAACAGATGATAAGCGATATTCATTACGGAACAATTTTGATCATTTGTCTTTATTTCATTGTGCTTTTCACACTAAGGGCTTCAAATAGCTTAAAAATTCTATATTACACATAATGGACTCTTGTAAGCTTTAAGCCGTGTTATAATGTTACGCAAAGTTGTGTTTTGTTCACACATGTATGACTAATCCTGTATTATTAGTCTGTCTATATCTACAAAGCTCGAAATGCTCTGTTCCACCTTGTGACGTCACAGAGCAATATTTTTCATGTGAACAGCTCCCTTTTACCTTTAGTTCAGTAGAGATCAGTAATTCCATGGCTGAAATGATCCAAATGATTCTAGTGAAGGTGTGTGGAGCTTAAAAACACAGTGGAGCACTTTCTGTATTACCATATGATATCACAAGTTGGAACAGAGTGTTTGAGAGAATAACTCCTCTTAAATATGTAGGGTTTGTGTGTTCAACATATGTGAATGAAACAAAACACAAATCCAGGTATGTTTGTGATTAGGAAACTACATTATAACATAGATCAGAAAATAGCATAATAAGGGCCCTCGTGCTTTCTCTCTTTCATTTCAAAGTACAGGGTAGATCCAGTTCAGCCAAGTAGATGCATTTCAAAAGCAACAGAAACAATTAAGGTGATGTCAGACTTTTTTGTGTCCTTTCTGCCAATTTGTGGTTAGCTTTTATCTTTCGTTCCTCTTGCATCTTATGGTATAATGTCTATAAATAATAACATGAGAAGCCCTGGCATTTCACCGACTTACTTCAAACATCATTTAAGTAACACGGTGAATAATGTTAGTGACACAAAGTGCATTTGTGCATGATCCTGCAGCTCCAGAGTTTAATCCGCTGTATAGACTCCAGATGTGGCAACCGCATGAAACTATAAAGTTTTACCTCTACTTTAGTAAAGTTTGTTTTAAATTTAGTAAAAGCTTTTCTGAAACTATGCCCACAGGAGCTTTCAGTTTGTTGACAGTAGAGCGATAATGAAGATGCAAGATTATTTTGACGTGCAAGAAAACTACAATGAGACAAAATCAGTTTCAGTATTTAATATATAAAAAACACATGTTATACATTACAGTACAAAAGGGAATGATCTGTTCTTGTCTTTTCAAATCACAACATCAGATTGTTTCAGTGTAAAAGTGGACATGTGTATCCAATCTGATGACACAATGTTCTATGTCCACAAATCAAAAGGACATGCCTTCCTCCTACTACACACAGTGGGTAAACTGTCAAATGTTTGTGTTTACAACTCTTAAAACGCCAGCTTTTTGAGCCTTTTGAGCATGACCACACCCACAACTTTGAACTATTCCGAGATGTTTTCATTATTTGGTCCTCAATAAACACTTGGCAATTGCACGCCCGAATGGTAAAGCTATTCATTCTTGATGTTTGGTTGAAAAGAGTTCAAGCTATCAGTGGCCTGCGAGATTCAAACCACATGCATATAAATATTATTTGCAGATTGACCATAAGTTCAGCAGTTCCAGCGGATGCCTCCCAGCATTAGGAGGAAGTTTAAATTTTCCTCTTTTCTTTGCCAAAAATGTGACTTTCCTTTAGAATGCACACAGCTCTGAGAAATAATTTACATATGAAATACTAGGTAATATGAGGTTGTTGAGAACAGCAGGTCTATAACACCGAGCTAAGCAGTGGCTCTACCGAAATGAGGCAGCTACTGTAAGAGAAAGGAGTAGAGCACTGTTGAGAGTCAGTGTTACAAATTTGGCTATAAAAGGTACATATAAATACAAGTGAATACATATATGCAAAAACCTTCTTCTTACTTTCAAAGTCCAAAGGCTAACATTCAATCACACAAAAATGTACACATACAACGTCACTGTTTTATAGTGACATCAGATTTTTATTAGCTTAACTGCCTTCTAAGTGCTTCTGATTCAGTCGGATATCCAGTTTTCAAGAATTGAAAGTCAATTCAGTCATTCTCTGTACAAGTCACTGATGATTTTGACAGTGTAAATGAAATGCTAGTTGGAAGGTAGTTTTTTTTTAGTCTTTTTAGATTTGGGGAGGATTGTCCACAGCGACTGCCGAGTACTCTGTATCAGACACATTTGAGGTCTCGATCAGCCTCGCCAAGCCTGTCCGTGTGGAGTATTTAAAGATGAACGCCTTCATGAGGTCATAGCGGTAGTTCCTGTTGATGAAGTTGTAGAGGATGGGGTTGAAACAGCAGTGGAGCAGAGACAGGCACTGGGTGAGGTGTAGCGCCACGTAGAGGATATTCTCCAGACTGCAGGTGAGGGAAAGCAAGCCGAGTTGGGTGAGAGCGTCTGCGAAGAGGACGCTGTGATAGGGGCCCCAGCACCCGAGGAAGACTATGATGTAAGCTAGGATCACTCGACGGCTGATGCGGCGTTCTTGCTCCACACTGGTAGACGCTGTAGAAGAAGAGCGTCTGAATGTGCGCGCTAAAAGAGTGTAAAATACAGCAATAACCGGGAACGGGAGGACGAAGCCAAGCAGGATGAAGCTCAACTGGACTCCAACCATCCAGTCTCTTGGGTTTTCTTCTGGGTAGACCGGCCGGCACAGCATCAGATCTCCATGTGAAGATTTGACCGTGCGCAGGAAGTAGGTGTCGGGCAAGCTGGCCACAAACGCCAACAGCCACACCCCCACACACGCAGCGCGGCGAATCAGCTTCCTCTTCGCTCCTCCGTCATTGTCGCTGTGCGTGGTCACACTGAAGTAGCGGTCAACACTCATGCACGCCAAGAAGAAGATACTGCCAAAGAGGTTGACCGAAAATAGAAGGTGTGTGAGCTTGCATGCCATCTCTCCGAATGGCCAGTAACCGTGCTGCGCCAGGGAGCTGACCCAAATGGGCAGAGTGGCGCACACGCACAGATCGGCGACGGCTAAGTGGGCGATGTACATGTGCGTCTCATGGCGAGGGGTGGAGTCACGCTGGGCACGGATGTTCACCCAAAGCACTAAGGCGTTGGCGGCCAGACCGATGACGAAGATGAAGGAGTAGAGCACGCACATGGAGGTGAGGAGGGCGCTGCGGTTGAAGGCCGTGGCGCAGACTATCGTGTCCACGCTGGAGATGTTGCCCAGGTGCTCGGAGATGTTGAAGTCATTGGAGGTCAGGGACTCCCACAGGTCCTCCAGTTCGCTGGTGCTCAGGCTCATTTTGCAGAGGATCACGGGACGCTCTTCTGACGGGGATAACTCCTGTAGAAATAAAGAAAACATTTGTTGTTTCATGTAACACTTAGAGGTGTGCAACTTTTCTGGTGGACCTGCTTGTCTACATGAAGATATTACTGTTTTGCTTTGGTTTTTCCACATCATTGAAATAAACTTGGTAATCATAATGGAGAGTTTAGTTAAGTTAAGGGTCAAATCTATGGAGTTGCAAGCCTGCACATGGTAAGAATTCATGTTTTGAAAGGTATTTTTTGAGCTATAAAACTGAAATTAAACAAATACAAGGGAAATAAGTTTAATGCCTCCACCTTAGAAGTTACATAGCACACTTTTAAATGCGTGTTCATCTTTTACTTGCATGCAATGATTCAAATATTGATTATCATTTTGGTGTTATGCCAGAAGCCCTTCCTGACACTGGCATTCTTGTTTTGTCAGTTTAACCATTGGTGGCTGAATTCCTGCAACTTTACATCACCTAGTAGGCTAATTTGGTGGTTAAAGCTACTGTTATTTTTGTAGATAATCTTTGGGTATCGGGTTTAAAAAGCAATTTTCCGTCACATTTGCTGTAGCAGCCTCTGGACATTGACTGCCTAAGCTAATAAAACATGAAGTACCTGCGGTTTGCCACCAGATCCTGAAGAATCTTAATGTGGTGAGCTTGTTAAAACAGCCCATTCAGGACCACATACAGGGCTGGTGCTGTTGTGTCACAAACTTAAGCACTGTGTGATTGATGTCCAGTCAAAAGGGCCGTACAATAAATGTTTACATTAGCTCCACCGGTGCAGAGTGCAGATTGGACACAAGGAAGTGAGATTGAGAAATCTAAACACAAACCATTTCCGGAGCGTTCTGAGCATTCCAAGATAAAGCGCTGGTCAGGGGTGGGAAATTGGATGCCACTCTGAGGTATGTTTTCCCCTAACAAGCTTCTTATAATAATAAAAAATCCCTCATCTTTTCTAGAGGTGGGGTTGAGGAGCTGTCACCATATGTATGATCAAAGAAACGTAGGTTATAGGTTCAAAATGTCATTTTACAACATCTGCGACTAATAAGACGGAGGTATGTGCTCATAATTTAAAATGCCCTACATGTGTATAGGAACAAAAGGTGGCTCAACTCATTTGCAAGATCACAGCGAGACACTTGGCATTCATAAAAGTAGAATGGTGCTTTTCTGCCTAAGGTTAGGGTTACAAAGTGTCTCTGCGTGGCTCTGTCTGGCCTGTCTTCACAAGTTTCTTCTGTGACGTCTCTCTTCTCTGTCTCCTCTTTAACTGTGGGTTAGCAGCTCTGGTGAAGGTTCAGAGGTGAGAGGGAATAGATCAAAAGCACAACACGACTGGTTTAACCTTGTACAGACTGGACTGACATGTGTTCACCCAGAGACAGAGCTGAGCAGACAGCAGCGGGGAACTCGTCTCGGCTCAAGCACGGCCCAGGTCACTGACCAGAGCGTGACACAGCACCACCACGAGCAGTGAAACCAGAGCACATCTGTCTAAGAGGGACTTGTTTGGATGGGGGAGAAAAAGCAACAACTTTTTAATTTATGGTAGTTTGTTGTCAGATTGTCTGTTTGCTAGTATTGATTTATAGATTTTCACAGATCTTTGACAATAAAGTAATATATTTAACTTCATAGAGACATCAGATTATGAATTTAAAAGCCCCCAGCTATAGTGCTTCTAACTTGGAAAATGATCAAGCAAGAGACCTTCCAATAGAAACTGTCTTGATGAAAAGATTATATCAAACTAAATATAATTATAAATTCTAGAGAATGTGTCATGCTTCCATTGGGAGGAGTAGACTGTAGTACTGACATGTACGCTCAAAAAGTAATAACAGTGCTATGTTAAACATTATCTATATTCACCCTGGAGAAAAAATATTTATTGTCTGAGTTTTCCACCACTAAAACGACACTGGTCTGACTAATTGTGTGGGTTCCGTTAACGTTTTATTGGCTTTCACAATACAAGCTGATTCAAACTGATGTGTCAGGTATGGAAATGATGGAACATCTTACGATAAATCCCTAAATAAAGATTTCATTAAAGCCTAAAAAATCAGAGCAGACTCTCACTTCTCACATTTGGGAATAGATCCAGGGCCATATTAACCTCTGCTACACAAAAGCTGTGGAATCCTTCACCTCTCATCCAGTAAGACTATGTGCTTCTGGGGATTTTGTATGCAGAGATAATCCCTCACAATGGTCTCTGTCTAATTCCCCTCATATTATATGGAAAATACCTGTGGGTGCCAGGTAGCCCCACGGGCCTCTAGTTAATTAACCTTTTAACACTCAGCCCCATCTGATAAGATGAGCAGGAGCTGCCCGCAGTGCACCGCCAGCTCTGTATGTGCGAGCGCATCTCCCTCTGTCCCCCTTCAAGACGCGAGGATCCACTTTCAAATTAGTTGAAACGGCTTTTGTATTTCAACACACAGACAATACAAGCGTTTGAAGGCTAGTTTCATGCTAATAGGAGCGACAAGCGCAGTGCAGGTGCAGCGTGTTTGCCCGACTTTCCCTCCTGTCTTACTCTGTTTACATTCTTTAGTGAGGATAAAATCTTTTCAGTGGGAATGTCAGGTTTCAGCGCTGAGTGGCAGAAGTATAGGAGACGTTTAGCACTTGGCGTCATTACGCACCAGCGCCAAATCCAGCGAAATGTCCCACTGCAGCTCAATACAAACATTCAGGGACATTGTTGGCATTGTTGATTTCTATCTGCTGGAGACAGACTTATCAGATGTCACCTCAGCATACAGTAGTCCGGCTTAGTGTGTGAATAGGGGGCAAATCACCGGGGCGAGTGGATAGAGAGTTGGTCAAGTGTGAGTAATGCGGTAGTAAACCAGGCTTTACTTTATAATAGGCTACGGTCAACAAAAGATGACAAAAGACCTGAACTGCGTTTTGTACTTTACACTTTAACTCCGAAAACAAATTTAAAACTGTATAGTGAACCATGGCTCATCTTAATAAAACTATAGAAAATGAAACTGAACTTAGATATAAACGTGATCTTACCTCGTGCTCCTTTCCAAAGAAGGAATATCCTTAGTTCTTTAGCTGATGATTGTTGTTTAGTTTCCTGGTTATTAGCAGACGAGTCCACTGAGTACTTGGTGCGCTCCGTCCGCGTTCTTAAATGAGTCTGAGTCGTGCGTCTGCTCCTCTCTCACTGCACTTGCTGAAACTCACAAGAGCTACGCCTCGGGGGCTGGACCAACTCTAATGCATATTGACATGGCATCACCCCAATAAACAGCGCGCGCTCTCTTTCCCGCACGCACGAACACACGCACGACTGCCATTATAGTTTCGGCCAAGAAATCTGTGTGAGGAACGAGCTTAAGTAAGTGATAGTTTAGCCAGTGTGCCACATCCTATGACTAATTACCAAAAAGATAGATAACCTACTAAATCGTTTAAAGTTAAATAAGATATATGAGAGATAAGAATCACCCTATAATGTGTGAAATGAATGGACACTGGAGCGTTAATACCGTGGGGGGAGGGTTGGGTTTCACAATGGGAATATGTAGCTGACTGTTCTAAAATACCAGAACACATAATAATGGAAGGTACACTAAAAGGCTTTTCACTATAACCTATTTGTTAACAATGTCTTTTATGAGAAAACCATAGTGAGAAACTTGTACAAAGGTATTTTTAGATTAATTCTTGCTGATTAAATGTCCTATATTACGCAAAATTGACTTCTGTGAGCTTTTAGCCATGTTATAATGTTGTTACCTCCTCAAAAACATACCTGGAGTTGTGTTTTATTTCATTCACACATGTTTGAGTAACCCTTTATTGTTAGTCTGTCTACATCTCCAAAGCTCAAAATGCTTTTCAAGTTAACATCTACATTTTACCTTTTTTTTAGAAGAGATAGAAAGGCTGCAAATAACCAAATTATTCTAACGAAGGTGTATGGAGTTTAAAAACACAGTGGAACTTCCTGTATTACAACATAACATCAAACTGCGGATCAATGTTTTCTGTTTGAGAGTCTCAGTCTAAATACGCAGACTTTGTGTGTTAAATGTGTGAATGAAACAAAACACAACTCTCGGTATAAAAAAGTTTCAGAAAGAGCGCTTCCTGGACCTCCAGATGATAATACACAGTGAATAGAACTCAGTGGTGCTCTTATGGGGAAGGGAAGTCAGTTTAAAGATGCAAAAAATCCAAGGCATTCACTGGTTAAAATAAAATGCCTTTATTAATTTACAACTTACACGTGTTTCAGTTTCTGCTTTCCTCACAGGGCAAATAGAATTCTGAGTGAACCATATGAATTAAATGTAGGAAACCCACAACTCTGGGTATGTTTTTGATGAGGAAACAACATTACAGCATACTATACAACATTATATAAGATCAGAAAATAGCGTAATATGGGCCCTTTAATTACAACTCTGGATAGCAACTAAAGCCAAAGTCATAACTTAAATTGTATGTGTATTATTAGTCTTTCCAGGCTGCACAGCACAACACACTCAGAGTCATATAGGGTAAAAGGGGCTGCGACTGTCTGCACCCATGGCATGCCTCGCCCTCTGTCACCTCAAATATGAAACCAGATCCACAGACAGCAGCCGACCACATCAACTGTCCCTGCTCCCACCCAAAACCCACACGGCGACTCAACCCTCCTCCACAGACGACTGAAGGTGAGGGAACACACCTGCTCGCTAACTGTCACCGTTACAAATGATGAACTTTATTTCAGCGAGGACAAAAGAGGCAATTAGGAACTGTTTTAAGAACAAATCTGTCCTCATTTTGAACTGTTCTTGTCTGCAGGCTAATCTTCCACCTCTCACTGCAGACTGGGTGGCTTATGTCTTTGTATTTTACACCAGATGTGCGATGTGAGACAACGATGTTTGTAAGAAACATTGAGTAGACTGTAACTTGTGACTTTTGTGATCAGACTATGAATCAAGTCAAGAACATTTTCTATCCAGTGCACAGTGTTGGGAAGTAACTGAACATTTGTACAGAGAATATGTTCAGAATACAAATTTTGAGTAACTTTACATTACAATTGCATTTTATTTGGTGGTATTAAAATCAAAGGAATACATTATGGTTTATTATTTATTTATTTTGTTTGTGTCTTTATTTTGGGCAAGTAGAGATTTACATTCTTACACAATGGAACATATGACGCAAGTGAAATCATAACAGAAATGAAAATAACCACAACAAAAAATTTAACCAAAAAGGAGTGGGAAGAAGAAAATGTATTTAATCCCACCCCCTCTTCTATTCTAACACAGTGAGGTTTCTTTTGCATTTTCAGACTTTTAGCATTAAACTATATGAACTGTTTACAAGTGCGGACAAAGAGTCACTGTTATAGCTTGGGCATACCAACAGTGGTAAGGTTAAAGGGGCAGTTCGGAATTTTGGACATAGGACCTCATTTCCTAGTGAACCAGAGTGTTGGAGACGTGTGGAGACACTTTTTAAAATATTCCATCCAGGCCTTGTATTTGCAGAGGTCACTGGTGCTAGGCTAGTGCATGTCAGTGGCCATAGTTAGCCTGCCACTAAAAACAGTCTTACCCACTCCACAAAACACCCAAAGGAAATCTATTATTACACCAGACTATCGATGTAAATGTCTGTGTTGATAGAATAATTTTAAAAGTAAAACCAGCCTTGCATTTGAAGGATTTATGTCTGAGCAGCAGCAGCGAGTTGTACTTCCTGATAGAAAACTTGGCAGCGGCAGACTGATACATGAGAAAATAGTCCCTCAGCATGCCGTAATTCATGCAATGCAACATTAATTTTATTTCAAACATTATTCTATCAACACAGACATTTACATCGACAGTCTGGCGTAATAATAGATTTGCTCTGGGTGCTTTGTGGAGTGGGTAAGACTGTTTTTAGTGGCAGGCTAATTATGGCCATTGACATGCACTAGTCTAGCACCAGCGACCACTGCAAATACAAGGACTGGATGGAATATTTAAAAATGTGTTTCCACACGTCTCCAACACTCTGGCTCACTAGGAAATGAGGTTCTATGTCCAAAATTTTGGACTGTCCCCAGACAACAGATAAAAGTAATGTAATGGACGGCACAAACCAGCAACGGTAAGGAAAACAAAAAACATAAACCAGCACTACAGAAGGAAGTATTGTTCTAATATTATGAACCACTCTCTATATACTGTGACAAGACCGTATGTTTATATAACAACTTGAATTTATGGATATTTTGGCGTTGCTTAAGAAGTGTATCCAAACTGTTCCAGAGTATTACACCACATACAGACAAACAGAAACTTTTACGGGCAGTTCGAACATTAAGCAATTTGAAATTTCCATACCCTCTAAAATTATAAGTTCTCTCTCTCATTTTGAACAAGCTTTGAAGATTACTTGGTAGTAAATTGTTGCATGCTCTGAATAAAATTACCAGTGTATAATATTTTAAAAGGTCAGGAATCTTTAGGAGCTTGGAGTGAATAAAAAAGATTATGCGTGTGTTCTAAAAATCCAACTTTATGGATTATGTGCAAAGCTCGTTTCTGTAATATAATCATTGGATTAAGTGTACCTTGGTAAGTGTTCCTATTTGATCACAAAATTTAGACTTCAAACTGTACAGAATGAGTGAGAAAAAAAAGAAAACATCACTCTCATGGCGTGTGCATGTGTAGTTTTCAAAGTATTTTCCCATCACTGCCAGCGTAAAGACCAGCATTCTTTTCATGGGTTTCAGTCTCTTTAATGATCACGTTTTGACAACTTTGGACCAGGCAAAAGTAAAAAATATACTTAAGATTGTATTTTGTTTTGAATTGTTGATTACTATGGCAACATTTCTAACTTTTGTGACTTTTCATCACTCACCAAACCCATAACCTATGTTCACTCTACAAAAATGTGTTTACATTTCAAAGGCCAGGACCTTATTAAAACGAAACTCAGTTGCTCTAATTTGATTAATAGTGAGGAATAAAAGCAGCTGCAGTGGGATTGTTTCATTGTTGCCGTTTTATTACCCACATCCTTTAACACAAAGCTTGGTTTAGGTTTAGAGCTGTATCTTGGGTTTTCTTCTCCCATAAGACCAATTAACCCCAAGTTCAACCCGCCCAAGCTGCAATTCAGGGCCATTCCATCACAGCACCCTACTCACTATAGCTTCACCACATCACTATAATATACTTTGATAGTGCTTGAATGTGACAGAAAGGTGCGTTTGATGTCCTTCCTTCCTGTGTTGTTTTAATCACGTACAATGTCTCCGCAGTATTTGCTTAGGTAGAAGATTTTCGCGATTGGTACGACTTTCCCCTCTGAAGTTTATTATGACGGTACGCCCTGCATTCTCCCTGATGAAATACAACCAGCAGGCCACTCTGACCTCATTACCGACCAGGGAAATGCTGTAAGTTTCTCCAAAGGGCTTTAAACCGGGTGACCGTATGCACGCACTCCCATTGTCTTCCCTATCTGCACCATCGGAGGAGGTTGTTAAACGGCCTGATAAGCATCCGTATAAGCTGCGGTCCAACCTCTGTTCTCCGTGTCTCATTCACAGGCAATGGGAATTTTGTATTATTACGTTGTTTACTGATCCATGTTATAATGTTGTTCCCTCATCAGAAACATACCCGGAGTTGTGTTTTGTTCCGTTCACACGTTTAACTCACAAATCCTGCATATTTAGGCTGATCTCTTCTCACTCTGTTTCACCTTATGATGTCATACGGTAATACAGGAAATGCTCTACGGTGTGCACCTTCAGAATCATTTAGATGATTTCAGCCTGGAAATTCCTATCTCTACTAAACAAAAGCTAAATGGCAGATGTTCACTTGAAAACTACCACTTCATGACATCACAAGTTGGAGCAGAGCATTTTGAGCTTTGGAGATGTAAAGGCAACACGTTTGAATGAAACAAAACACAACTGCAGGCATGTTTTTGAGAAGGTAACAACATTATAACATGACTTAAAGCTCACAAGAGTCAGTTCTGTGTAATATAGCACCTTTAATCAGATTTCATAGATTTTTTTTTTCTTTTTTGGTTTATATTTGTAATGCTCAAGCTATGTGGGAGCGGTTGACAAAACAAGATTAAGTAAATATCCTCCTTAGTTACTGTAAACA